TTTTTTTTCTTCCTGCTGTCGGTTCGTCAATTTCTATATTCAATTTTTTTTTTTTTTCCGGCTCTAGCCACAGTTCTATTAATTCAAAAAGGTTACCTCGTTCATCAGATCTTACACATTTTTCCCCATTAGGTGCCTGGCCGCTTTAAGCGGTCATAAACTCATAACGAGTATTTCAGGAATCCACCTATATCAACAGATATTGTTAGGGAATAAGCCCTGAGTTTCTTCCACTCTACGGTGTTGTAGAAACGAGTATATTGGCCAAACTTTGGGGCTGAGGAAACAACAGGGAACTGTCAGACTGTCGATAGTTACCTAATCGGCGACATGTCAATCATTTCGGGTTCTCGCCGGGGACCCAGAGTCAATCATCTTTGACGCGTGTCAGACCCTCAAAATGGTGATAGTTACGCTAACTTGGCTGAGGCCACCAAGTTTCAGGATCGAAAATGCAGCTGACAGCATTCACATCATTCCGTGTTGGAAAAGCAGGAACACATGAAATTGGGGTGAAAAGTGCACATGCTTTGTCGATATGCTAGGTTTGTGCAAGCGAAGGAAATTATAATCTCACATCATCCTTCTCTCGTACTTGTGAGCTTCAATGAGTAGGTATAAAGGCCTTTGACCTGTCAATTGAATTGAGCCCACTTCACTACAAAAAAAAAAAAAAAAAAAAAAAACAGATTTTAGCCCATTTAAAAATCGCCACTATGTCTTTAACAACCATGCGTTCTTCACCATTGACCTTTGCACCGGCACCTCAGGCTGGGTATGTTCAGACCCCACTTATATAGATCGGCGCTAATGAAGCACAGAAAAGCCGCCCAGGGCCAGCCTGGATTACTAGCCAATGACTCTATTGACAACCATGATGCTTTTTTTCGATTATCCTTGCCGGAATTCAAAAACACGAGCCCCGAAATTTATGATACCCAGGATGATTCTTTTTGCACTTCAAGAGACCAAGATTATTTCACTTCTCCTTTCACGACGGCAGAGATTAATGAGCTTCAATGCCAATACTTTAACAACTCAGAGCCGTTCTGGTCAGCATTAAAGTAAGTAAATACAAAGCAATGGAATGGGCGGTAAATCAGGCCAAAAGAAAAAAAGGAAAAAAAAAAAAAAAAAAGGAAACACAAGCAGCTGACCCAGGTAAAAATTGCAGCGAACAAAACGAAGCTAGCATGCTCCCCGAAAGCATTATGCCAACCGGAAACACTACACATCAACCCCAAGACCCATCTTTCGATCCATTCCTACGCGCACTCCAAGGCTCCCCGGACAACCACACCCTGAATCAAACGCCAGATCCACAGATCTTTGGCCTCGACGAGGCACATGAATTACCGCCTATGGATGAAATTCCAATATGTTGGGAGCACGGGTGCAACGGCAAAGTGTTCTCAAGCTGGAGCAACTTGCGGCGACACGAGCGAGAGCGGGCCTCTCAAGCCCCGAGGTGCTATTGCCCACGGTGCGGTGCGTACTTCACTCGGACTACAGCTCGCAATCAACATCTTGCCAATATGAGCTGTTCGAGAATTCGTCGGTACTCTAATGGTCGAACGAGACTTATTATGAAAAAGATACAGGATAATTTTGGCTTTCAATCATGAGACGGAGTTGGAGATATATAGAACGCAATGATTTTATGAAATACGAAGTACAAGAGAGCTGTCTTAGAATTATGCAAAATTGACATGTCTTGTGCACAAAGTGCTTGAATTTAGTAAGGGTCTGTGTCAAGTATGCGCCTCTCTTGATCCTCGTTCTTCCTGTTTGTTTCTGTTGAGAGCTAGGGAGCAGGTCACAATAAACGGAGTTGATTGGAGAGAAGAAGCTATCTGAGATTGGAAACTATCTTCCCCGCACTGCGCGCACATGTATATAGAGCCGCCCGACTGGGCATTCGTTCCCCTCTTTAATGAAACCTTTTGTGCCAAAGCTGGTCATTAGCATTTCCGGACCTGGCCCTTAACAGGAAGTCCCAGATTAAAGAAGAAAGGAAGAAAGAAAAACTCCATCTATGGATTCAAGGTTTATCAGATCTGCTTTGTCACATAACGTAATTCACAAGCGAGTGGGCCACCAACCCCCCATATATAGTATTTAAATGCATTTATTCCGACCAAAACATTAATTAATTAACAAAACAAGCTATCTA